AAGCGGGAAATGTTTAGTTATTGGCCCACCGTTTTTGGGGTGGGGGGCGGAGGGGGAGGGGGCGGGACCCCCCAAACTCCCCTCATTCGAAAGGGGACAGTCGCCACTTTACGAAAAGCCCCACCCCCCCTTGGGGACCTCCCACAGACCCCTAAGGAACCGTTTGAAAATGGGGTAAAAACGTAATTTTCCGAGGCAAACTGAGCAGTTTCAAGTGGAATATAACCCAACTAACGAAAAACGTGGGATTTTTAAATAAAAGAAATTATCCCAAGTTGGTTATCAGGCGATTTGAAAAAAAAAATGATGGGGAAAAAATTAACTAACAATATTGTGAAATTAAGAAAAAAGCGACAGATAGAAATATTCGGCCGCGCTTAGGGATTATAACCCTCACTACGTAGAATTCTCTTCTGTGTTGCCAAAGAAAGGGGGTTGAACACCTTTTGCAGAGAACACCTTTCTGCGTAGGCGGCCTTCGGCCGCACTTAGGGATTATAACCCTCAGGCAGTAGAATTCTCCTTTCTGTGGTGCCAAAGAAAAGGGGGCGAACACCTTTTGCATAGAACACCTTTCTGCGTAGGCGGCCTTCGGCCGCACTTAGGGATTATAACCCTCAGGCAGTAGAATTCTCCTTTCTGTGGTGCCAAAGAAAAGGGGCCGAACACCTTTTGCATAGAACACCTTTCTGCGTAGGCGGCCTTCGGCCGCACTTAGGGATTATAACCCTCAGGCAGTAGAATTCTCCTTTCTGTGGTGCCAAAGAAAGGGGGCCGAACACCTTTTGCATAGAACACCTTTCTGCGTAGGCGGCCTTCGGCCGCACTTAGGGATTATAACCCTCAGCGAAAGGAGCCACAGGGACAGTAAATACATATTTTCCATGGAAAGGTTTATATTTTTAATGCTGACTGGGTTATATCATATTTTCTTTTGTCTCTCATCCTTCTTGTATATTTAGCAGTTTGACAGCTAAACGCCACCATTTAATGTGCATATGCAACCAAAGGCAAACGCGTGGTTTTGAAGATGTTTTTATTTAATAAATTGTGATTGATAGATTAAAATTAAAGTAATAAAGAAAGTTGTAACAAGTCGAATAAAGTTTAAAGTGAAGGGGAATATAAAAATGCATTAGTGAAGTGGCTGCTTTAAGGAAAATAGGAGTGATAAATGTGAGCTATTTTCCGAATTTTACAAAAAAGGGCATATTTCAAACCCAATTTGTAAATAAATTAGTGACCGAAAATTACAATAGTGGATGTTAAAGTAATGGGTAGACCCTTGGCTACAAGTGTGTGCAATTTTTTTTTGGATCGGGTCACCCCTTTGGACGCAATACCCCGAAATAGGTGGGCCACTTACTAAACCGTACCCTTTACGTTTGCAACCACTTTTTCGTTTAATACTTTTTAACAACTTCACAATTTTATTTTTGTACAATCACCATTTGAAACAATTTTCACAAAAACAAACCAAACGCCAAGAAATTCACGAGAAGACTGCTGGCAAAACAGTTGAGGTTGTTCAGTGAATGAGTAGTCCAACCCAGGGTTGCAGTGAATTTCCATGTTTATTTGCAGAGTTGTATGTCGAGGAATGGTGTATAGATTTAATTAAAAATGTACGAAATTAAAGCAAAAGCTTTAAATCTTTTCAAGCCTTTACCTTTCAACTCATACAATACTTCGTTCAAAGTAATTTTCTAACAAGTAATGGCACAGAGTTTAAATGGGTTTCAATGGTGAGTTCTTACGTCTGATTTCCGTAAATCGTTATATTCGATAACACTGTTTCCGCCGGAAAATAATTTCCGGTAATCGATGAAAATTTGATCACCCTGCCCTTCAAACTAAACATATACCCGGTCTACAATAAAAAAAAATACTGAAACCGGCGCTAGCGCCTCAAGATTAGATAGCGATTTTCTATGGTATGGACGCAGCTATATTTGGAGTATTTAAAAAAACGTTGATCCAATATTTATACTTAAGTTATTTAAGCGGATTACCTGGCTAGACCGTAAACTTCCTATTGGATGTCAGAAACGGCAACCAAATTGTCGCTGCCTCTTGGAAAGAGTAGATACATAATACTGATTTAAGGATGTATACGTTTAGCTGGTAACTTCCTGGAGCTATCAATGCGTATTTATCACAAGTTAATTACATTGCAAGTGCATACATGCTCCAATCTAAACATACACACAACGAATTACTTTGAACTCCACAAGTCGTTGGGCACAATCCTATCAACATTCCATCACCAGTTTGCTGCTTATCATTATTATAACAGCTTTGTTGTTAATAGCAAACGAACGTATAATGGATAACAATAAAGGCGGGTACTCAAACAAAACTAACCAACCTTGGTTACGTTGACTACCAATAAAACAACATAAACAGATTATCTGGAACTATTGATAAATCAGGGAAAATAAAGAAAAAGTAATCGGCACAGATAATAGCAAAAACGAAAATATTTGTACATTATGTTAATATACAAACAGCAAACCCAATAAGTTATCGTAAGAACTTTAAAGTATAAGCAGCATGAATACACATACTAGTAGATCCTTTTTACATTCATGTCTGAAAGTTCCAATCGATCCATGCAATAATTGTCCTGCACCAATATATAATCGACCAAAAATGTATTTAGGACGGTTGGCGGCAACACCGTTAAGCGCTGCAAATAGATCGCTAAAAACAAGTGAATTTGAAAATGTAGACACAATGGCGGGTAACAGTGGAATACGTTCTTTGGCTAAACTATACGACAGCATACCAGGTACGAAAATGCATTTGATGTAATGTAGAATATTTACACATCCCAAATTTTAGATTATTGCGATATAAATCATCTACCGAATGAAGAGTTTTATTCGACTCTTGATACATTGCGGTCCACATGCTGTGAGCTGCGTACCAAAACGGCGCAATCATGTGTGGTGGAGTCAAGCAGCACGACATCCTCTGTATCTTCACATTTTATCAACATCCAGCGGGGGAAGTCGAGTAAGCAGCCGAAGAGTAGACCGTCTACCGGCAAAAGTAGTAGCAAAAAGAAGGCTGGAAAGATTAAAAGTCAAGGTTACTCAAATCCGCACTGTTCGTCAGAAACTCCTATCAGCAATGCGCATAAATTAGACTTTACCAAGCATAGCGTAATAAAGAAGTGAGGAGTTTTATTCGTTCTCTTGTCTCATTTTATTTATTTTATTTTATTTCATTTTATGATGTACGGTGAAATTATACCATGATTATACATAAACAAATTTCACAGTTATAACAAAGAGTTTGAGGATGAAGTAAAGGTATTCCAAAAAACTTTAAAAGACTTTGAAGACGAGCTCAAACAACGTCATTCATTTGCCGCGTATACGGAATCAAAAATTAGAACAACTAAAGTTAACCCAAACATTAAAGAAGGCAGCGATTTGGAAAAGAGCACAGATAAGTAATGCATTATAGTACCTCAAACATATACATATGGCTCTAATATAAATCCGTACAGACTACCAAATAAACCTAGCGCATCAAGCATTCGTGAATTCTACAAAAAGCCTGAAGACAATATGCGTCCGAATTCCAAAGCTAGTAACACGAGTCTTCGGAAGTTTTTAAGAAAATCATTTTCTTTTAATGACATTAATAGCATCGCCGATAGCCGAGTAAGCGAAGATACAGAAATAAAACATCCGGTGGATAAGGTTTCTGAAACTCAAATTCTTATAAATCGCACGCCTTCCAAATTCAGCAGTTATTTCGCACAGAAAACAAGCATGTATGAGTGAAATGAAAGAAAAAAGGCTGAATAACAGTGCTAAAATAATTATACTTCCCATAGTACTTCGCCCGAGAGCATCCCTCCGAAGATTGTTATCGATCCACCAAGTAGTGAAACAACTTCCGTGAAATCTTCAAGTCGCTCGAACGGTGGAAGAAAGAAGAAAAGGCAACAGAGGGACTTTAAAGTGCCTTTTTCAATTTTTAACTTGGGCACGAAAACGGAAAGTCTAAAGGTATTTTCCGTAAGTTTATATATATGTATATGGCGTTGGATGCAATAAGTCGCTTTATGCTTTTATTAATTACCTTTTTTATTGAATTCATTCTGCATTTAAAAAATTCAATATTCATAGAATTCAACTCCATCACCTGTACATCCGGTGGCCAGACCTAACCTCGCTGCTACTTTAAGAGTTGAAGTTTCGAAAAAGAAACTGAAGGAACTGCAAAACAACTGCACATACCACGATAGCACGCCACAATTCGATTGGGAAGTACGCAAAACGCCAGCGTGGAAATCACTTTCCCTCAAGTAAGCGAGATTACATATAATGGAAATGAAAAACATACTGATTTACATCATTCCACATTTTAGTGAGTCGCACAAAGAGATACTGTCCATGCGTTTAGCCACCCGCAAAGCGGAACAGGAAATGCAGAAACGCGAATACGAGCTGAACATGGAATTAATGCGTCAGCGCGTAAAATCAGCACCACTTCTTTTGGAAGGTGCCACATTTTGGGGTCCTCATATTGGAAAATTAACACATACATGTCAGCGTGAGGGTGCCAGCCACTGCTGCCAAACCAATCAACGCAAAGCGCGTAGTAAAAGCGCCGATAGTCGTAGAAAAGTGTACACTCGTGAGCGAGTTGAGAGTGAATGCAGTCAAAGGAGTAACAAACTAAATATACTACAAAAAATGTATGGTGGTAGTTCAAAAGTGTATTCGCGAAGTGCAACACAAACGGCGGTGAGGAGAAAATCATTGCAATCTGATGGAAAACAACATGCGGAACAAACGCAGGCTCCGCAAACACAAAATGACAGTGGCGATGAATTATCTAGTTTAGATAGAGCATTCTTGTAGGTAATATATGCAAACAAAGCAGACCTAAGTAGATACTAAGTAGTGTTAAGAAATAAAAGTTTTCCTTACGGAATAATAGTTACATATACTATATGATAAGTAGAAAATATTCCTTGATTTGGTTTTTAAGAAGTAATTACGTAGCCTCAATTATTATTTTAAATTTATCTTTAAGTTGTCAAAAGTATCCGCTATTGTAAATGCAATTTTGTCATCGTCAGTCAATGGTGCATTGCCGGGACGATTAAGTATGACGACCTGCATTCCAGCATCGCGAGCTGCTTCAGCCTCTGTAAAATGGACGGATTTTAGTAATATACATAGCGAACATACAGGTTTTTTTACCTTTAACTACATCAGTTAGGAACAGTATGTCTTTACTAGATAATGCCAAGTCACTCGCTATATTGACGTACGATTCCTTCTCTTGCTTGTGACCAATGGCAGTGTCATAATGACCGCTAATATACGTTAGTAAATTCCCAAATTCTGTTTGACCAAAAAGTAGCTGCTGCGCCTTAACGCTACCACTAGAATAAATTGCAATGCTTATGCCAGCCTCATGCCAACGTTTAAATGCCCCCGGAACATCTGCGAAAACTCTAGAACCGCGAAGATATATGTTTCAAAATTTGCAATAGCTGGACTTAAAAGTTTACTTACTGTCCTTTAATATTGCCGCTTGCATATCCTTTCTCCCACACTAGCCCCTGCAGGGTTTTCAGTGGTCCAAGTTTGAGATCTTTTTCAATAAGGAAATTCACAAAACTAGCAATGTTTCCGGCGGAAGCGGCTGGTTGTTCATCGCCACCTCCAAAATATTCCTTATATTGTGGCAGCTTGCGCAAATCCTGGACGATACGTTGTGTTTCTGCATCAGGCCATCTTTCCTCCAGAAATGCTTTAGTGTGAGTTTTTGCGTAGGGAAAGAGCACATCCTATAATATTCAAAATTCTTTGTGAGCAAAAATTTGGAAAATATGGCTACTGATAAAGCTTATGATAACCTTTACAAAACTGATGGAGGTCGTTGTGCCTTCAATATCACTAAGTACTAAATTCACTGTAAATTCAGGCATGCTAGTAATTTTTCGGCGTTTTTTAGTTAATTTGAGATTCGTTATGTTCACAAACAAACAGTGATTAAAAATCAGCTGTTTACTTCCAGTAGAAATGTCACTGATAACAGCAGGGATGCCATACCTTAATTCTTTTAGTAATTTGGTTTTTGCAAAGAACGTAAATCTATAAAAACCCATGAACCAAAAATACAAGATTTCGTAAGAACGCGGCGTTGTATTTGTTAATGGGTTTGAGAAAAAAGTTTCGGGTTCGTCAGCTGAGAGTTAGTTTACACAAGCATCACTATTTTACACTTTTATTTAAGCGCCCTATTCCCACACCACTGACAAAACTCAGCGGCTGACTATTGCCTTTACTACTGCGCCTAATACTATGCCGCGAATTTATTTTAAGCTAATAATAATACAAGGTGGTATCAGTTGTGACAGCTCGATTTGATACTGCCTTAGCTCAGTAGAATGAGAAGAAAAACGGGAAGAAATGAATCCCTATATGGGGGAAAAATATAAAATTTCACATTTTCTCCTAAACAAAATTTGCTTTTTTATAGTATATTCGTTATGAAATGAAATAAAATAAGACAAAATACCTTTTTAAGAAAACAGAGTGTGTATACTGAGAAAAAATAAAAAAAAACATTCAACTATATTAATGGGCAAAGAATAGTTAAAGAAGTAACACTGTTTCACGTAAGGCAGTCAATATGGCGGAATTAGAGCGAGAAGTTGCCAACTGATAACACCTTGTATTATTGCATCATGGCTAATTTTGGCTTTCGTTATTTTCTTTGCTTTATTTAATTTTCGCTCGTTTTCCAAAGAAAGAAGATGGCATAGAACTCGCTCAAAAATCCACCTTTTTCACTCTCTTGTTCTTACGTGATCTTGTACCTTTCGTTCATGATAAATAGCGACAGTGAAATAACTTTTTGTCCTTTCTCTTTCTTTCCGTCTTCTGCATCCAACTTCAACACGTAACGCGCTGTAAAAAATGAAAATGGCATTTGCTGGCGCTAGCGCCGCCTTATTGTGCGATGCTATACAAACTGTACGGGCATGGGGATTTTTGACATTTGTTTGGCGCTTGACGTGCCAAGTTACGTACGGCAGTATCGCCCATTCGCTCGATGTTCGCAGTATTCATCAACGTTTCTCGCTGTCGAATATTCTACGTCATTCCTGGAACATTCAGTTATACTTGCTGTTACAAACGCTACAGACCATTCCACCTTCATCTTGTTTCTTGGTCTCCCAACGGTCTGCATTCGATACACTATGTCATTCGGCCGTTTGACGACCTTATACGGACCTTCCCAGTTGCATTGTAGTTTTTGGGACAAAACTTTCCTCCGTTGAGGATGGTGCAGCAACACCAAATCTACTTTTTTGGAACCTTCGGAATTAATCGCCTTATCGTACCTGGATTTTATCCTGCCACTCATAATTTGCGTACGTTGTCTCACTAGAGCATGTATCTCTCTCAGCTCTTCCTCCAGGATGTTGGACGTCTCTTTCACAATTCTTCTTGCATCACTACTTACTCCAAACTTCAGGTCACTAGGTAAACGGGGTTCACAGCCGAATATTACCTTGGCAGGAGTTTCAGCCATGGTTTCATGCACTGCTGACCGGTATTCCATCAGGAGCAAGGAAATACGGACATCCCAATCTTTCTGATTCTTGTCGACGACCTTCCGCAAATACTATTCCAGGGTTCGGTTGAATTATTCCACTGATTGGGGATGAAGAGTAGTTGCTCGGATACCCACTATCTGGCATACCTCTTGGAACACCGCCAGAGTGCAGTTCCATAGGTACACCCTATCTCGACTGATTGCCGACAACCAACCCACTGTTTAATCTTCTCGAGGGTCTTCTTGATTTCCAGGTGCCCTCAACTAGGGTCATTGTGAAATTCCTTGAGTACATCTGAAATTCTTACTCTTGGAACTACTATTAGGTTGCGGGAGCTCTGGAAATCTTAAGTTTCCCATACCATATGCAAACAGCCAGATATTAACTATAAGATGTTCCATTGTGCCCAGTATGCATTTGCCATAGGGTTTTCCGCAGCCATTTGTTCCTTAGTTGGCCGTCTGTCCATCTCCATGCATCAATAGCTCCAGATCTGGACCTTCCTGCTGACACTTTAGTAGCTGCCTTCCAGTCTTCCGCTGTTGTTTTTTTTCGTTATCCGGATGTCAATAATGTCTTCTTTGGCATCAGCTTTTGAGCAGTGTTTACATTCCAGGCTACATGGTCTCCGGGACATGGCATCAGCATTTCCGTGGACACTTCCCTTGCGGTGCTCAATAGCGAAGTCATAACTTTGCAGTCTCTCAATCCACCTAGCTAGCTGTCCTTCTGGATTCTTGAACTGTAGTAACCACTTCAAAGCTGCGTCCATAGAGGGACTTGTGGACATGTTTGACACACTGCACCCACCCTAGTAGTTCTTTTCAAGTTACGCAGTAGTTCCTCTCTGGTTTTCCAATCGACTGGCTATAGTAGGCAACTACTTTATACTGTCCATCAATTACTTGCGACAGTACGCCTTCTATAGCGCAACCTCTAGCTCTATTTTTCCTAGAGCGCTCATGAAAGCTATTAGCAACGCTGGCGAAGTTCGGAACAAATCGACCGTAGTAGATGCATAGCCCAAGAAAATTTCGTAGTTCACGCAGGTTCCTGGGTCTTGGCTAATCCTTAACTATTTCTATCTTTTCATTCGCAGTGCAGATGCTCTCCGTTGTCACCTTGTGACCTAAGTAGTTCACCTTCTTCTTGAACAGTGTGCACTTTTTAGGACTTAGTTTCAGACCAGAGTCAGCTATCCTCTGGAAAACTTCTTCCAAATTAGTCAGGTGTTCCTCAAAGCTTTTATCCAACACGATAATGTCGTCTAGATACACCAAACATGTTTTCCGCTGCAGTCACTTAAGCACATAGTCCATAAGTATTTCAAAAGTGGCAGCAGCGTTGCATAATCAAAAGGTCATCGCCGTGAATTGCCAAAGACCACTCCAACGCTGAAAGCTGTCTTCTCTTTGTCGTCGCCACTAAGTCTACTTGCCAATAACCGCTCCTAAGGTCGAGTGTTGAGAACCACTTTGTTTCACTTAACGAGTCAAGGGTATCATCGATCCTGGGAAGTAAATAGCTGTCCTTCTTTGTCACATCATTTAGTTTCCGGTGGTCTACGCAGAACCGCATTTGACCATTCTTCTTCTTCACAAGTACTACCGGCGAACTCCATGGACTCGCTGATGGTTCGATCACACCACTTTCGCTCATTTATTTTATAATTTGGCTTACTGTGGCACGTTTGCAAATGAAACACTTGCAACACTAGTATCAATGCGATGTTTCACCACAATAGTCCTGCCTGGTTTGTTGCCGTCCTTGTGGAATATGCTGGAGTATCTGCGGAGAAGTTCCTTAACCTTGTGCTGGTATTTTCCTTCCAACCATTCTGTCCATGCATTGATCTCGTCCGAAATGTCATTCTCGCCAATGGAATCTCTTTTAGGTAACCTTTGGCAGTGGAAAATTGCCTCTACCTCTCGACACTGCCTCAGTAAAGTTCCTCTTCGGAGTTTGATTGGTAATTTGAACTCATTAAGTACTCGAACTGGGACGCGTCCGTATTT